GAGGCAAGAACCTGGGGACAGGCAGGTGGTGGGACTCAGAGGAGGAAGCAGAGAGGCAGGCGCTGGTGTTTGTGCCCACAGCCCAGGAGGGGGCCGAGGTTGAGTGACAGGTCCATCCACTCAAATACTTAAGGGACACGGCTTGTTTCTCTTCCTCCTCTTGAGAGGTAAGATCAAGCATTCAGCTTACATAAGCGCCCCCCCAACCTTAACCACCGATAACGACTCCACCAAAGAAAAAGGACTCGTTGAGCCGGATTCCAGCTGTCCCCCGAGCAGCGTCCCCGCGGTCCCTTCACTAAACATCCATCTCCAAGAGCATGAATGCGGCTCGTTCAGGCCGCGGGGAGCAGGAGGGGCAGGAGTGAGGAGGCTTCCGGCCGAGGCCCGTCCTCGGGCTCCAGGGGGGGACCCTTAGGCAGCCCAGGGAGCTGGCATCCCGGTCCCATGCCAGCGGGCGCTCCTGAGACCTTACCACCCTGGCGGCCGCGCATCCCTCCCCCTGGCCCATCCCGGGCCCCCCACCAGGCTTCAGAGGGCGCTCTCCCCCGGGGCTGAGCGTGGGGGCCGAGGCGGGAAGCCTGCGCCCCCGGGTTCTGAAAACACCTGCTGGCCTCGCACTAGGGATGCTGGGCAGACGCTGGGTGGCAGGCGGGCAGCTCAGGAGGGCGTGTCTGGGGCCGCCTACCCACCTGGCCGGCCGGGCGCCGGGCTCCTCCCTCCTTCTCTGTCTGGGTGCCCGTGGGCCGGGCTGTGCCCGGGGAAGATGCTGGTTCTACGGGAAGGTTCTGCGGAGAGAATGCCGTCCTCGTCTCAGGAGGTCGCACGAAACACGGGGAGGGGCGGGAGCAAGCGGGTCACCCCCATCCCCAGCATCTTCTTTTTTAAATGAATTTATTTTCTAATGAAAATCTAATCCTGTCTTTTCAATGATTAACGCTTTTTAAATATATTTTTATCGATTTCAGAGAGGAAAGGAGGGGGAGAGAGAGAGAGAAACATCAGTGATGAGAGAGAATCACGGATCGGCTGCCTCCTGCACGCCCCCCACTGGGGATCAAGCCCACAACCCGGGCCTGTGCCCTGACCGGGAATCGAACCGTGACCTCCTGGGTCATGGTCGACGCTCAGCCCCCATGATGCTCAACGTTCACAGGGCAGCGCCGGCCGGGCCGTAAATGCTTTCAAGGCGCCCCAGGCCCTGGCCCACAGCACTGCGCGGGGCACTGCACGGAATGTCACGGCTTAAAAATGCAGAAACACGCAGAGCCTGGCCGATCCCACGGAGGTCGGTTCAGCCAGCTCATCTTTCCAGCGTAATGCTATGGGAGTGTAATTATCCCCAAACATTAAACTTGCTTTGCGTAATGAATGGAGGATTCGTGTGAGACCAAAGTGGAATGTCACCTACTCCCAAGCTCTGCCTGTAGCCGTGTCGATGAGCCGTTTTCGTACCTTGGCGACCTCCCGCAGGGCCGGCTTCCCCTCCACGCAGAGCCCCGGCCGGGCAGGCGCTGCCCTTCGGATGAGGAGGCGGATGGACACGGCCTTGTCTCCGCCCTCGTAGGACACCATTTTCCCCGACTCGATTCTCTCCACCGTTACACCAATCGGCTGGAAACAAGCGTGGGCCTCGTTAGGAGCCATCTGTCACCAGAAACGCCAGCCCGGGCCCGGCTGGGCCTCCGGGAGCTCCACCAGAAAGCGCTGGTTCTGCGCCCGGAACACAGGACGCGGAGCCCCCTCTGCCCGTTTGACAGCCCAGCGGCTGTGGGACTCGGGGAAGTCATGGCTGCACGTGGAGAGGAGATGGGCCATCGCAGCAACATGGAGCCCTGAAAGCTGGGCTTAAAGGTGTGCAATGCCAGTGGCTGAGCGTTGACCTATGAACCAGGAGATGCGCTCTGGGGTGAGAGCGCCCGCCTGAGGAGAGGGGCGCTGCGGCTCCGGGCAGCATGCTTCCTCGTCGTGTCTTCACCGGCCGACGGAGGGGACCCTCTTCCACAAACAGGTTTTGCTGCCTGAAAGGCAACGGGTCACACACAGGATTCGGGGGGTGGGGGCATCCCGCCGTCACAGGCACAGCAGCTGCGGCATAAACTCGTTATCCCATTCCACAGTCGTGGCAGCGGCCCGAGATGAGGGAGGGAGGCTGGGGAGGGGGGGACTGGGCCGGGTCCCCTCCACGTGGAGGATCCTCGCGGAAGCCGCCACATCCCACGGGGCCACGTGGGCGTGGGTGTCTCGCTGTCGTGCTCCACCTCACGATATCCCTGTTCCCAGGGGCAACAAAGGAAACGACCCCAGCTCGCCCCCAGGAGCGTGTCCTCACGGAGACGTTACAGGAGGAGACGGCGCGTCCCGTGCCCCGAGGCCCTCGGGGGTGTCTCAGGCTGTTCACACACAGCTGGGGGCCAACAGCCACGGGACCAACGTGGCCGTGGCCATAGGCTCCGTCTCACAGGGTCACTGTGAGCAAGTGAGCGCCCCATGCACCCGGCGGGGAGAGCCCCATGGTGGCAGCTGTCATGTGACCAGATGCCTGGTCACCAGACGTGCAGGCACGTGAGAGCCGATCTGGGCAGTGACTGTTGTGAATTATTCATGGGGTGGTTATGAATTATTCATGAGGATGGAGGCCACTGGGCCAGGGGGCTGAGAGACAGCACTGCCCCGCCCGGCAGGGACGCACCCGCCCCGTTAACCAGCTACTTTCAGGTCAAACGGAAGAGCCTGGTACCTACCGGAGCGTCTGCGTGTCTCCTCGGCCGAGTGGAGGCCACGGATGTGCTGGCGTCGGGCCCCAGCGGCCCCGGGGTCTGCTCCTTCAGGGCGTCCATCTGCGTCTGCAGGTCGCGGAGGAGGGCGGCCCAGTGGGCCTGCTGCGTCTGGA